GGCCGCGCGCGGGGCCGCGCGCCCGGCGCCCCCCTGTGGAGCCGAGCGGTGTGCTGTGCGCGGGGCGCCGCGGCGGCACGGCGGCAGCCAGACGGGGCTGCGGGGCCGACCGCTGCCGCAGCCCGACGCACCCGTGACCACCGCGGCGCCCACCACGACCGCCGCCGCGAGCCCCACCGGCACGCCCACCACCAGCCCGACAACCGCCGGCACGGCACCGCCGCCGCGGCCACCGCCACGGCCACCTCCGGGAGCACTCGCAGACCACCAGCACGGCCCTCCACGACCGCCCCCGACCCGCAGAGGCCTCCCGAATGGGCGACGACACGAAGCGTCCCACGCGAGATGGCGCAGGGGTCTCACGCGGGGGCCCACCGCGCGGGCCGCGCGCGCGGCTCGCTGCGTTGGAAACGAGGGCGCCTACCCGCGATCTTTCGCGAGCCACGTACGCGCCAATGCGGGTGCAGTCGAATCCGTGTTTGTTGCGTCGCTCAAATGGGGTCCGAGTAGATGGGGGTCAGGGGCCAAAGATCGCGCCGCATCGCCGATGCACCGGCGATGCACCGATGCATCGGCGATACTCCGCAGCTGCAGAGGGCGAGGCCTCGGCGACTTTGGTGGTGCACCGGCGACGTCGGCGTGGGGAGAGTCGGGCTCCACATCCAGCCGCCTTGCCGATACATCGGCGATGCAACTCGACCGTCCGACCATCTGGGAGGCCTATTGCTCAGCACGGAGCGACCAAGGCATGGGCTCTTCGCGGGGCTGGCGCGCGACGCGACTCGTGACGGTACTGGCCCCCTCCTTCCCAAGAGCTCAGACGATATGGTTGTCGATCCTGGCGCTGTTCCTTGATCTGGGACTCTGGGGCCCTTTCTGGGACCCCTGGGCAATCGAAGACAAATTCTGAACGAAAATCTCCCCCCGGGGGGAAGGGCCATAAAAATCTGACCGTCGGGTGCCTGGGCCTCGCCGCCACCCCCCCTCCCCCAGGCAACGGCCGTTGTCGCGAGAGCTCAATCGATCCCCGACCTCTCTTCAGAGACTCAAGACTTGGCAAGCAACTCCGGGAAAGTCTTCGTGGGAGAGGTGAAAAAACTGTTGAGCCCGGCTAGGGGGGCAGTAAGCAAGATGATTCTGGATGAAGCCAGATTCAGCCCAGGACCAAACTGAACTGAACCAGATTGAGCGAGCCCAGGCCGAGGTGGGGCGGTGCTCAACCGCAGATGCAGCCGATGTTGAGTTCGGCCTCACAAGAAAAGGCGTTCTGGTTTGCCGTCGCGCTAGTGCGCCCCAACACCATGGAAAACGGCGCCTCGGTTGAACGCCTCGGTCTTGTGTTCCGTGTCATCTTTGGCTTGTTCTCTTCCACCTCCAACCCCGGGTCAGTGCGACCCTGGCCCTGCAGGACCCTGCAAGATCCGGCGCTCTGGTTGACCCCCATCTGCATTGACCCCCGTCTCAATGAGACGCACAGAGACATACTAATACTATATGCCGTCCTTGGAGGCGCGCATCCGACCCGAACATATGGTATACTTATCTTGTAGTATATCGTTTCCCGAGCGGTGTGGCCGGAAAGCGCCCACCACGACGCATATACAATTAAATTTCTCGGTGCGCGCGGCGCCCCTGGGGGGGCCGACGCACATATAGTAGAAGCATGTTGGGGTGACGCCGATCTCAGGGCTCCCGACGCGAGCGACGTCCCGACCGAATGTGAGATCGATTGTGAGATCGATAGTGAGATCGATAGTGAGATCGATTGTGAGATCGATAGTCAGATCGATTGTGAGATCGATCGAATGAAATAGATCGAGTGAGATCGATCGTAAGATCAACCGAGTGCGATCGATCAAGCGAGGCCGATAGTGAGATCGATAGTGAGACCGATCGAGTGAGACGTTGGTCCCTCCCCCCCGGTCGTACAGGTGCGTCGGGGTGACGCCGATCTCGGGGCGCCCGACGCGGGCGGCTTCCCACGGCGCCGGTGCCCAGCCAGGGGCCCCGGGGGCCGAGCGGGGCCAAACGGCCGCCAGTGGGCGTGGCGTCTTCGCGGCGCGGGGGCGGCCCTCGGCGGGGAAGGCGCGCGCGGGCACGGCATGCCAGGGGCGAACGGTGGCCCTGGCCAGCGAGGGAGGCGGGAGCGAGGCGGAGCGCGCGACGGGGAGGTGCGCAAATAAGGGCCCCTGCCCGTCCTCCTCGTCGTTCCCCCGCCCGCGCTCCCTCCTCCGCCAGAGCCTCCGCCACGCTCTCCCCGTGTTCGCGCGCGCAGGGGCGCACGCAGACAGAGGCACAGACACACAAGCACACAAACACACACAGACGCCCCCTTACACACACGAGCGCCTCCAGCAGCGAGGTGGCGGCACGGTCGCGAGGACTGAGCCGCGGCACGCTCCGTCGAGCTCCAGCTGGCGTGGCAGAGGGGTGGACTCGACGCGGCGGTCGCGTGCGGAGAAACGAGCTGCACACTAGACGAGCGGGCGTGCATGAGCCTTCGACACCACATGCGGGTCGTGCAGGAGGGAGCAAGAACTGGAGGGCCGAGGGCACAGCCAAGTCTGACTACCTACCAGACCACCCCAACCCAACCCGAAGGCCCGACTTTCCGGTTGGGGGGGTAAGGGTTACAAATGTGTGTTTTTCGATGTTTCCCGACCCCTCCCCCACTGGAAATCGAGGGTAAATCTGAGCCTTCGGATTGGTTGGGTTGGGGTGGTTTGGTGGGTGGTGAAAGTCGCCAGCCGCCAACAGCATGCAACGCGAACAGCCCCTGGCAGCTGCGCCACGCGGCACACTCTGCGAGCTGCCAGCGTCACGCACGGGGACGGCAGCAGAGCCGCGAGCAGCGGCGGGAGGAGCACCACGACGACGAGGCGGCGGACCCGCCCGTCACATGTGGCGCGCTCGGGGCTCACACTTCCTCCTCCTCATCCTCCTCCTCCTCCACCTCCTCCTCCTCCTCCTCTTCTAGAGGCCTCCTAGATGGGGCGCCGCATCGCCGATACATCGCCGATACATCGCCGATGCATCGGAGATGCATCGGCGATGCACCGGCGATGCATCGTCGGCGTCGGCGACCTCCACGTGAAGCAAATCGGACTGCACAACGAACCGCATGCGCGATGCATCGGCGATGCGGCGCGATCCTCCGACCCCATCTACTCCGACCCCATCCAGGAGGCCTAGATCTTCCTCCTCCTCCTCCTCCTCCTCCTCCTCCTCCTCCTCCTCCTCCTCCCACACTGGCTTCATCCAGCCAGCCTGGACACCAAGACGCAGTCACCCTCGAATCTAGCGAGACGGGTCCGCGGCTCCTCCTGACTCGCTCTGCCGGCCTGGCCTGCAGGACACAGAGACCCCACGGAGGAGGGAAGGAGGGACGGAAGAGAGGGCGAGGCGAGCAGGCGGAGAACAAGGAGGAGGACCGACCAGTCAAATGCGGCGCATGCTGGGCTCGCGCTGGCAGCAAAAAAGCATCCAGGGCTCTGACACGCACACACACAGAGACACACACACAGACACACACACACAGACAGACACACTCACACGAACACACACACAGACACACACGCACATACACAGACACACACACACACAGACACACACACACAGACACACTCACACGAACACACATACAGACACACACACACACACGCACATACAGACACACACACAGACTCATACACAGACACAGACACACAGACAGACAGACACAGACACCCACACACACACACTTATTCGGGCGTCGCTGCGGTGCGGCTTAGAGCAGGTCGAGCGGGAGGCGCGCGCGGGCCGATCCAGATCATGCGGCGTGGAAATACTGGACCCGCGCACACACGCGCGCATACTTTGTGACGTCGCGGCCACGCGCGCGGCGGCGACACGCACAACAGTTCGAAGAAGGACGCGCTCACGCGCGCACACACACGCACGCACGCACTCACGCACGCACGCACACACGCCCTCTTGCTCTATCTCTCTTTCCCTCCCTCTCTCACGCACACACAGACGTGTTTGTTTCCATCTGCAGCGCGCCACCCCTCAGTGAGAGGAGGGAGAGGAGGAGGAGGAGGGGGAGGAGGAGGAGGAGGAGGGGGGAGGAGGAGGAGGAGGGGAGGAGGAGAGGAGGGGGAGGAGGAGGAGGAGGAGAGGAGGAGGAGGAGGAGGAGGAGGAGGAGGAGGAGGACGAGGAGGACGAGGAGGAGGTGAGCAGCCAGAGAGGGCCCGTGCGGTGTCGAAGCGCACTCACACACAGACGCGCTCGCATGCCCGCGTCGAGACGGGGGCGGCCGTCGGACTCGCGAGCCGCGCGGGCGCGCGGGAAGGACGCGGGAGCGCCGCCCTGCCGCTGCCGCCTCGAGCGGCGGCTCGTCTCTCCCCATTCCGCGAGGGAGGAGCGGGGCAGCCTGGGGGGGGGGGACGGAGGAGGGGGGGGGAGACGGCGGGAGGCAGGGCTGAACCTGAACGGTGCTGTTCGTGGTCGTGTTGTTGTCGTGTTCCCTCGTTGTGTCGTGAATCCGCCTTTACCGCAAGACGATATCGAAACGAAAACGGCCTACGAAATCGCCAAAACTCTGTTTAGGTCCACCCCTGGTGGGAAGCAAGGAAACGAGGAGGGCGGAAGTACGAGACGGGAGGGTGTGAGGCAGACTCGAAGGCAACTCGTGGGGGGGTCTTCGTGGGAACGCCGAGGCCCAGGCCATATCGAGGGCCAAGCAGCAGGATTCTGCCAGATCAGGCCAGGGATCAAGCATATAACAGTGCCGATGCTGAGCTTGACCAACCATGAGCAACAACAACCGATGGCGACAGGAGGGAGGACCGCCATATGGAGCACAGGAGCGAGGAGCCCCCTGGCATCGAATGCGACGGCGGGCGGTCTCTCTTCTTCTGACTCCTCGGGAACCTGCGAAACGGCAGCTTCGGAACGCCTCGCGCACAGAGCCGCTCACAGGGGGCTCTTTCTCTCCTCGGCGGCAGCCGCGGTGTCCCGT